GCTTCGGTGGTAAATGCTGGTGGACGTTGGTCGTCTGTTTGGAGAGGAGCTGGAAAGATGTCCCAGCCCTCTTCAAAACACGGGATGGCCCAGGGGCCACGAGCAAGTTGGAAATCGGTGCCTGGCTGTGTCAGGAACCTGACTTTAGGGAGAGAGTGCAATCACTTAGGCACCATTTTGGACAAGGCAAGGTGCTTTGCTACCCGTCTTCCGATGCCTGCGGTTCTCCTGGACTGGCTGCCCCTGCTTGGTGCCTTCATTTTCCTCTCTGCTCGGGAGCTCAGGTGTGGCCGCCAGCATCGACTGATTCAGATGTTAGCATTTAAGTGCCACCTGCTCCATAAACATCCCCATTGATTTGCTCTATCCAAAGGCATCCTGCTTTATTTCGTTTGCTGCCGCCTCATATTTCCTTATGAAGATTTCTCTTAAGCTAATAACAGCTGTCAGCCGTTGGGGCTTAGGCAGGTGCTTTCCAACCTCCCCGGACACGTTTTTGTGTCGGAAAGAAGGGACTCATGGTGGGAAAATCAAGTGGGAGCTGGGAGCAGAGCGTGCCTGACTCCATCGCACCCCCTTTGCCGGTGATGGTGCCAGGGCGGTGTGCAAAGTAAAACCAACGAGGAGCTAAAGAAGGGCTTTAGGAAGGAACGGGCAAGCCAAGCTCACTCTAATAGAGCCTTGACTGCGGTTTCTGGATTTGCTCGATGTGGAGCATTCATTCAGAAAAGTCCTGTGAATGACTTTGGGGGGAAGATGCGGTTGGCTCACCCCTTCCCTGCGCAAACTACGAGCCGTTTCTAAGCCACCTGCGGCGCAGCTCTGCCTGCCTCAGCCTTAGCATCCCCGCAGTGGTACCTGGTCCCCAGCCTGGGTGCAGGTGCAGGGCAAGCCCCTTCGAGGCCAAAGGCGGGCGCAGCCCCCATCCCCAGGTTAATGTTAGCTCGAGTTCAGCGGCGACCCAGCATGAGGCTCAGGCTTTGCATCCCCAGCCACCCAAAGCCCTGCGGATGCTGGGTGCAAACCAGCCAGTGGGGGTTTGTCTGGTATAGCCCCCTCGGGGGCCACGTGGTGAGCCTTAAGTCTTGACTTCTGCTGCTTCGCGCAGACAGCTCCCGCCTTCCTCATCATCTTGTTATTATTCTAATGTCTGGGAGCCGCAGTCATGGACCAAAACACCATTAAACTATCTGAAATGGAGCAACTCGACAGCCCCTGCCCTCACAGGCTTATTATCTTTGCAGATGGGTATTTTATATTTAGCAACCTCTAATGTATCAATTTGGGCTTTGATTTTTCACGAGGAGCGGCTTCTATTCTGGTGCTCGGCAGCGGACGAGCAAACTGCCAGGGAGAAACCCTGCCCGATGATCCCTGAGCCTCTGGGGAGGGCAGGAGGGTCCTGCAGCCCTCGGAGGGCTCTGGGGAGGGGGTGGTTGGCAGGGAAGCGTTTGCTGGTGGTCCGGAGCTTGTTTGAACAGGACTGGGAGCGCTTGGGGAATTGGAGTGATGTGGTGGCCGTGAGGCCAAGCAAGCAGTTAAGATAGCAGGGAGTGGAAGCCGGTGGCACGTGGCTTTGTGGGAGGCAGTGGTGCAGAGGGAGGGATGTTATGGGACAAAGGAGAATGGTTTAGGCTGGCCGAGCTTCTCGTGCATCCCATGCTCTTTGTTTTCCCACAGGAACGCGGAGGCATGGCAATAGGTTGGGAATTGCCAAGTGGGTGGCAAGAGCTAGTGGGAGATGGTCGTGCTGGGTGATGCCAAGCAGCACATCCCAGGTCCCCTCTGTCCTCAGGGTGCTGGGATGCCGTGGAATGTGCGTGCTGGGATGCTGTGGAGCATACGCCTCGCAGCTGGGTGCCGGGATGGATGGGAGAGACGGGAGAAGGGATATTGCGAGTGCTTCAGAGCGGAGATAGGGTGCTGGCGGAAGGGATCGGAAATGAAAACAAAGTGCCTCCTGCCCACTGCGCCAAGAATAAATATCAGGGATGACAGTGACGGAAACCCCGGCGGCGCAGTCCTGCCCTCCGGGAGCTCTTGTGCGAGACCCGCCGTCCATCGCCGCAGATGCCCTTGTCGCACGGTTTACATTGTTGGGAGAGGATTAGAGCAGCCGCCGTGTTTTGATGGCCCGCTTCTCATTTGCATCTTTAACGAAGCGGGAGCCCAGCCAGGTTCTGTTCTTTTGTGTTTACTTCTGAGGAAGTGTGTTTATTTCCGATGATTACAAATAAATCTCCTCTGCCTTTGCTCCAACCAGCCGGAATAAAAGGCGTTGGGGGCCCGTTAACTCCATAGCCGGGGCGAGTACCAGAAGCAAAGGAGAAATCTCATTAGGAGTCCTCGGCAAAAGGAATTAACGATTTCTTCTCAAAGGCTCTGCCCCTGTGACAGGTACTTTTGGTTGGAGACTTCCCAGGGTGAAGCACCGCCCTGTCGCTGTCAAGGGGCTTTGCTCCCGATCCAGGTGAGCTATTTTAGCCACTGAAAATTGGGTCAGCCAGCCAGTTTGTGCCTGGGTTCGGCATCTCCATTTGTCATTTTGATGAGACGGCGTTGCCTGCGGGGGTGAAAAGCAGTTTGGGGTTGAAGGGCCGTAGAAGTATTTAAAAGTGGAGCATTGCCGGTTTGCATAAGGAAGCGGGAAGATTTTTGGAGTGATCCAAAGACGAACATCTCCCTGGGGCTTGGCTGGGGATCTGTGGCCCTGCTCTGCGGGGGGGAACCCGTCACCTGGACCCCAACGTTTTGGGGTTCCAGCCATCCCATCCATCCTACTCACAGAGAAGGGTTTACAAGACTTGCTTTATTCCTCCAACTCTTTGCAGGCTGTCTATCCCTCCAAAACTAGTGCCAGAAAACTGGTGCCAACCCCTCACCACAGGGCAGACATCGAGGGCAGCCTCAACCCCAGCTTTGCCCTCGTGCTTGGCCAAGTCAGCAGCACAGGAAAGGTCTGCGACATGGCCCGGGAAAGTGGGGGGACAAGGACAGTGGGTG